CTTTACTTTGAGGGTAGTGGAGCACTGGCACAGGCTGCCCAGAGAGGTTGTGGAGTCTCCCACTCTGGAGACATTCAAAACCCACCTGGACGCCGTCCTGTGCAACCTGTTGTAGGTGACCCTGCTCTGGCGGGGGGGCTTGGACTAGATGATCTCCAGAGGTCCCTTCCAACCCTGACCATTCTGTGATTCTGTAATGAAGAAACAAATCTTTACAGCTTGCAGGCCACTACTGTCTGGTCCTGTATAAGCAACTTTAAGAAGTTGAAGCTATAGTCAATAAAAACACCAGTACAGTAACAAAACAGAGCAAACAAAAAAATCTCCCAAGCCCCAGGGTTATGTACTTACAAGTAATCTTTAAACCAGAAATGAAGTCATTTCTGTAGAAATGACTGTGAAACCTCAGTCAGTACTTCCACCTTCTGGTTTTGCAGTGACAAGACACATAATTGTGCCTGGATGAAATCACACATGCTCTGCACCATTTTAAGAGCTGCTAAAGGAAAGCAGCCCTCCACCTACCAATCAAAGATCTGCTTGTCATCATCACAGTAACAACAGCCTTGACTTTCAATGTGCTGGTCTGCAAAAAAGGTTTCCCCTCCTGCTACCGCCCTGATCTCAAAAGGTTTCTGACACTGGACATCAATTAGGATTAATGCAAAACCTGAACTTCAGCAGCACAAAGTCATCCTATCCCAGCCTATGCTGAGCCTACGGTACAAGTAAAGAGCGTTTCCCCCTCATTCTGCTTCAAGGCAACCAAATTCTACCCTTAAAACAATTCTGTAAAGAGATTACCTATTTCATCAGCCTTGAGTGCCTACAGGCTGCAGAAGACAACAGCACTGAGTGCCAGAAAAAAACACACCTCTATTTCACAAAAGGAAGTACGAAGTACAGGCTTGAGAGGACTTTCCAAGGAACCAGCATCTGCCCACCACCATTTCCAAGCAATGGGAAAGCCCCAGTAGAGGGGCAAGCCACCTGCAGGATATCTAGACTACGCACAGGGGCATCAGTTGTGCTTTCTGTTCAAGTGCCTTTACTTGCAGGAATAAAGTTAGAACCAGGAAGAGGATGAAATCTTGGCATTTGTGGGGTCCATTATTTGATTCACATATGACAGCAAGCAGCCCAGTAATTTTGTGACTACCTTGACAGTAAAGTTGAAGCAGATTAAATCACAGACTAGGCATGATCCTAGAATGGACAGGCATCGCTAGAAACAGAGATTTTACCAGCCTTTGTTTAGTATGGCCCACAGCTCATACCAATGCCATTTACATACCATCACAAAGCATCCCACTTGACAGACAGATCTTAAGTACTCAAAAAATACCAAAGCCATTCTTTCCTTCCCCGTGACCCAAAACATGGCATGCAATTCCAGTTACTCACCTCAATGTTGCACCAACTTCAACAGCAAGATTCAAACAGCCTCTGATCCATGTGATTTGCCATGTACAGCAAGAGACATCCCTCTGTGCTCAGAGCAAACTAAATAGAGTAAGTGAACTTCCTAGTGCAACCCTCTGTATGCAAGCCGCAAACACCCAAAGAAGGGATGTTTGGGACTTAGTCTTCTGATGATGTCAGAAGTTTTTCGTATACAGGTTTCTATAGATCTACTTGCTTGGCCTTATATTCAAATGAAACATAGTGCTATGTTGGAGTTGGGTTTTTTGTCACATAGTTTTCTCATAACAAATGCTAAGCTGGGCTACTGCAAAAAAAAAAATCTGCATATGTATCACATCCATTTCACAGGTCATTTTTCACAGCATCTCCTTAAGCAAATAACTTTTCCAACAACAACTGAGCAAACATCTGGATGGACAGAGGCGGACAGTGATTAATTCTCATTACAATCTCTAGTTTCTACAGAAATACAATAGAAGCTTAAATTTCAAGAGTATTGATGCCAACTCTATGCACACTGGCAGAAGTTTCTATCATACAACTGGCTTAAAAGGAGAATTTGTCCCCGCAGTTGTAGATCCAAGTCCTGGAGAGAACAAATATTTTAAAAACATGTATTACAGGTCAGTATTAAAGTACCAACTTTGAAATCAAAGGTAACTGTTCTCAAAATGTCATTAGCGGACCATCTCCTGTGGAAATTAGGGTACTGGCAATTCAGCTTACAGTTCTGAGAAGTATTTGATTTCCACTTTGAGGATAAACAATTATAAGAATTTAACAGTTGAAGAACAAACATGTTTTCTGCTTTCAGAGTTGCAGAAAAAACATGAGAATACTTCAAGACTGAGATGAGTGCTCCAACTGGAGTAAAGTTCTGCTTAGTGCAGTTGCAGTACCTTGGGGAAAAAAAGGAAAAAATGAAGTTTGAACATTAGGATTTACATCCTCAAAGACTTAAAATATACTTCTTCCTCATTCTCAAAGAAAAGTGGGACTAAATGACTCTGCTGCCTAAAAATGAAGGCCATCAAGTAGTTGAAGTCTCCACTGAACGAACAACTATAGAACAGATGATGCTGCACAGATTTTTGCCACCTTTCAGCAACACAGGTATATTCCTCCAGTCATTTCCCACATCCATATATGCACAGCTTTTAAGGATGTGAGAGAATATAGACACGTCAGTGCTGTAACTGAATTCCAAAGGGTTTGCAAGATGAGACCTGCATTTTTAAGGCTCTGCTCAAGTTCAATGGTTTCTTAAAGTCTTATCACTAAGTAATAAAAACAGCTGGCAACCAAGCAGACCTTGTCATGTGACCATCAGCCAATTATAGCTAATAAAAAAAATTGGTATAATTACAGCAATTCTGTTTTTCTCATACTTATCCACTTTTAAATGCTGTGTTACTGCAGGGATGTTGCATTTAAAGCTTTCTAAATACAACATTATGGCCAGAATCACCAGGATCAGGTATGCACAGGTATTTTCTCAGGTTGAACGCAATTCACCTAAAGAATTAATTTTAAAGGTTCAGAACGATGGACAAAATAGGATCACTGCATAGTTAACTGTCTCATTCCCAAATGAGACGTATCTTCATCTTGAACCAAAAGCGGTTTTAATCGACACCACATTCCCTACTTAAAGAAAATGGGACCCGATGAAATCCATCCACGAGTCCTGAGGGAACTGGCTGATGAAGTTGCTAAGCCGCTTTCCATTATATTTGAAAAGTTGTGGCAGTCTAGTGAAGTTCCCACTGACTGTAAAAGGGGAAATGTAACCCTCCTTTTCAAAATGGGGAAAAAAAAGAAGAACCAGGGAACCGCAGGCTGCTCAGTCTCACCTCTGTGCCCAGCAAGATCATGGAGCAGATCCTCCTAGAAACTCTAAGGCATAGGGAAAATAAGGAGGCGATCAGTGACAGCTAACATGGCTTCACCAAGGGCCAGTCATGCTTGACAAACTTGGTGGCCTTCTACGACGGGGTTACAGTGCTGGTGTATAGGGGGAGAGCAACTGATGTCATCTACCCGGACTTGTGCAAAGTGTTTTGACGCTGTTCCACTGAACATACCGGTCTCTAAATTGGAGAGACGCAGATTTGATGGATGGACCACTCAAGTGGATAAGGAACTGGCTGGATGGCCACACTCAAAGGGTCAATGGCTCAATGTCCAAGTGGAAACCAGTGATGAGTGGCATTCCTCAGGGGTCAGTACTGGGATCGGTGCTGCTTAACATCTTTGTGAGCAACATGGACAGTGGGATTGAGTGCACCCTCAGCAAATTTGCTGATGACACCAAGCTGTGTAGCACAGATGACATGCTGGAGGGAAGAGATGCCATCCAGAAGGACCTGGACAGGCTTGAGAGGCGGGCCTGTGCAAACCTCATGGAGTTCAACCAGAACAAGTGCAAGGTCCTTCACCTGGGTCACGGCAATCCCACGCACAAATACAGTCTGGGCGGAGAACGGATTGAGAACAGCCCTGAAGAGAAGGACTTGGGGTGATGGTTGATGAGAAGCTCAACATGAGCCAGCAATGCGCACTTGCAGCCCAGAAGGCCAACCATATCCTGGGCCGCATCAAAAGAAGCGTGGCCAGCAGGTCAAGGAAGGTGATTCGGCACCTCTACTCCACTCTCCTGAGACCCCACCTGGAGTACTGCATCCAGCTCTGGGGCCCCCAACATAAGAAGGACATGGACCTGTTGGAGCAGGTTGAGAGGAGGGCCACAAAGATGATCAGAGGGCTGGAGCACCTCTCATATAAAGACAGGCTGAGAGAGTTGTGGTTGTTCAGCCAGAGGAAGAGAAGACAAGACTCCAGGGAGACCTTATTGCAGCCTGCCAGTATCTGAAGGGGGTCTACAGGAAAGCCGGAGAGGGACTTTTTAGAAGCGCATGTAGCGACAGGATGAGTGGTAATGGCTGCAAACTGGAAGAGGGTAGATTTAGATTAGACATCAGGAAGAAATTTTTTATGTGGAGGGTAGTGAAGCACTGAAACAGGTTGCCCAGAGAAGTTGTGGAAGCCCCATCCCTGGAAGTGTTCAAGACCAGTTTGGATGGAGCTTTGAGCAACCTGGTCTAGTGGAAGGTGTCCCTGCCCATGGCAGGGGGGTTGGAACTAGATGATCTTTAAGGTCCCTTCCAACATAAACCATTCTAAGATTCTGTGAAAAAATCCAGACCTTGGTAACACAGACTGAAGGACAGTATGGAACAGATGCTGCCTGTCAGCATTGTGGAGGAGTGGCAAACCTGTACCCACATGCAACTACAAACAAATGCTGCTGGTGTTGAGTAGTTTGGAACAATGTTGATAGCTTTGTACTTTCAGGGATGCTGAACCTATGCTTGCTGATCATTCTTCAATTTTTTTTTCCTTTCAGATCTTAGTAGATTATTTGCACAAACACACCATGTTCACTCATATTTTAGCAAGCACCAGTTCAGGGAGAGCCTTGTCCTTCCTGCTCAGAGCTGTTTTTTACTGTTTATTCTCCTCTACGACTGCTGAAGCTGTAGAAGTTCAAGAAAGATGCCACTTTCACATTCCATTTGAAAATTATTTTAATTCTATAAAACTCATTTTTCACATATTTTGTACAAAAGAGGAGTTGTTTTCTCTTAATTACAGAAGAATCATTTCAACCTTGAGATTTCAGCTAAGTGGGTCCAAAACAAAACAAGACTGGGTTCTATTGGTTCTGGAGGGTCCCAATACAGCTCACCCAAGGTCTCTTTCCAGTTTGGCTCTCATGGTTATGGACCACCTTGATGGAAAACACCCCACATCATTGACTCTTCGGAGGCTTGTAGTGAATTCGGCAACGCTCATTAAATACCTGAGACACCAAAACAGAAGAGCAAAAGCGAATCAGCCCCCTGATGATAAGAACGTCAGAGCTAGTCCAGGCAACTATCTCTTCACGTAGCATCCATCTCAAGCTGCCCAGCCCTGCTGTACCAATAAATGGTACTTACCAAGGCATCTGTCTCCATTCACGTTCTCTCCTGGCTTTAGTGAATCCAAAGTTTGCAGCCTGATGCTGGGGGACTCCACAGCACTAAAACTGTGCTCCCTCAGGTAAGGCAGCCTTATAATCCCAGTAGCCTGCTATCCTCAAAGATGATGATGCTTTTTTGTTTTTAAAGAGGGAGCGATATTATCAGTGGAAGGCTCCTGACCGGCTGCATTTTTTTAAGTTCACTCTGGTGTTCAAATTTGTACATTGTATTCTTCTCTTTCGTGAGTAAATGCATTTTACATTGTCATGACAGCTAAGAAGAGGTGCAAGGGCTCTTGGAAGCTACGTTCTCACTTTTAGTTATCTGACCGCAGGTGCTGATGCTGCCAACACTTCTATGCAAAAGGCACACTGCTTTTGCCTCACTCGCCTCTGGCATCCTCTCTGTGTGAAATTTAGCACACAGAACTAGAGACTGAAGATCGTGTTCACCCAGCTTGAACTGCAGGCCTTGTCAAGCAGACCGCTTACCCTAAGGAGGGCCAATAAATGTGACTATTTAAAGGAAGGCGGTCTGAATCAGAAGCACAACACAAGTTTACAGCAAAGTTACAGGTGCTCTTTACAAGCAATTTAGTTAGTTATCATTTTGGCTCCAAGCTTTGTTCAATGCATGTCCTGAAAAGCGACATGAGCACCACCTCACAGCAAGTGGAGGCACTGGCAGTTATTAGTTGCCCCATCAGCACTCCTGCAAGAGCATGTTTTGCCAAACTGTCCAGAGACTTTTCAGATCCAAATGCCTGTGATCTTCAGGATGTCAGGTTTCCTGAACCTTCCCACTGGCTTCACGTGCAAGTGTGTGGTCTTGTACTTTTGGGGAAGTTATGCATCACATTATTTTAAACCGTATCTTCCTAGCATCCACTACTTCTAAGCTGATATCCTTATTCGGAGTTCAGAACCGGTGGCAAATTCAGCAAAAGTGAAGTTTGCAGCGTGCATCTGTTTTAGCAGGGATTCTTAACAATTTTTTAGCATGGATTCTTAACAACTTTTTAGTAATTTTCAACTTATTTCCAAATGAAATTTACTTTAACAAACAGGCACATGTTACAAACTGCTACTTCGTATTGCAGAAAAAAGTTGTGATACAGTTTCTTTCACACACACACACAGATAGCCTGTCCCGCTATGTTACCACATGCAATGGAAGCCGCTGAAAGAGTTAAGAGTATCCAAAGGTCTGAGACCAGATAAGCCATAGAAGGAAACTGTAGAAATTAAGAGCTACAAAGGGTTCCTATTCAGAAGCATTTTAATGCTAAGCAAATTGCACCATTTTTGACCATTGTCTGTCAAAGACCTATTAAGGGCATACTTAAAGGGTACTGGAAATACACTCTAAAACACCATGAGGGTCTCCTGCATCAAACAACACAACAAAAAAATAACAGCTTCCAACTTGCTAGCATGCAAACTTTTAAAGCATCTTTAACAGTAACTCTGCAGCCTATGGAAGGAAGATCAATACTGCAGTCTTACTAACACTGCCTCCTACTTTTAGGATCAGTGACCCACAGATCTCAGTGTGTTACTCAGACCAGTTAACTCCATTGGTCTACCTGTCAAGTGCTATTCTCATTTTTCAGACAGGAAAAACAGTGCCTGACAAACCTTCACATTCACGTTACTATGCAGAAGTTTGACTTTGCTGTCTTTTATGTATTTATACAAAACACTCCAGCTCCAGGATGGAGGTGCTGTACAGAGACTACGCAAGCGTCTCATTTTGACAGTCAGTTTCTTGCTTAGTATCAGCCAAACAAAATGCCACTGTTTGCATTTCTATAGAGCAGCATCTTTCTGTATGCCATTGTTGCTAGAGCTACCCAGACTAAGTGTTTGAAAATAATTTTGTTTCCTCATCAGATTTTTCCAATCAGTTTTCAGTTGGTTAAGGTTAATGTAAATATGTAAGTGCACTTTCCAAACAAAAGTCTGCAACAGTAAAAGAGTGGAGGTCCTCACCTGCAAATCAATAACCACTTCCATGTAACAAATTGCATTCGGTCCACAACTATGACCGGCTCTAATTCCTTCAGTGACATATTTTTACAGGCAGCTATATTAGACATCTATGCCTATATTCAGGCGGAGACAATAATAGCAGAGCTGGAGACAAAACCCAGAAATACTTTTCTCTTCAAGCCTTACTTGAAACACTAGTATGCAATACCTCACTATTTATAAGAAAGATGTTCTCCATCTTCAGGAAAAACTGGACATTTCTGTCACGAGCAAAAGCTTAAGATAGCTACGGGAAAGCACTGGCACCAGTGCCGACTTTGGTGCCAACTCTGGGCTTAAGGATGGAGATAGCTGGGGGGTGCCCCTGCCCTTTTAAATAAAACTGACAGCAGGGTTGCCATAAAATGGTTGCCGCTAGTGGCCTGCAGCATGTTGTTAAGGCTGTGGTGTTACTTAGTCATGTCTGAGCTGGCTTTAAATTAATTAAACTGAAGGGCGTGATTAGCTTTTTCAGACAGTATAGAGGCAGTAATGACAGCAAAACACGCCTGGAAAAATGTGTAGATGGTCATCTAATCGGCCTGCACTGAGCTGTACTGTGGTGAATACACAAATTGTATTGCAGTTATGCTAATGCCATCTAGAGGACTAAAATCCTGAAGCAGAGATTAAAAAGGGAGCTGCAGCTAGTACTAGCTGTTTGCAAAAATCCTTTTTACATTTAGAGAGGGAAAGATGTTCTCTTTCCTGAAGTACTGAAAGCTCTGTAGAGAGCTCTCTGAAAGAGCTACAACAAATGAGAAAAGTATGCTAGACGTGAAACGCTGCAGTGACAGAACACAGCCATCTCAGTATTGAAGCTCAGTGTTAAGATCACTTTATAACAAGAGAGTGTCTGAGGCCATCAATCCAGAGGGTGATCTGCCCCCTCTGCTGACACTGGAGAGTAATGGCAAGCCTGCCCTTTGCACCAGGGAGCATCAGTCCAAGCCTGCAGAAGCTCCTTCAGAAAAAGTTTCCATTTCTACAGCCCCACTCTGTTCAGAAGCGTGATCAGTACCAAACACAGCCAAATTTGAAAGGCTCCTCCCTCTGATGCTGTTAGAGGCCCAGCAAAGCTTTTCAGACAGGCCACCAAGGAGAAGCCTATAAAGCCCTTAGCCACTGGGCAAGGCGGAGAAAGGGATTTACACAGGGAGTACTCCACAGTCCTTCCTCTCTTCTCAATCAAACAGTTTTCTTTCCTTTGCAATGCAACTGAAAAGCTTTGATCTCTGCATCCAGAACTGGGAAAATGACTGACCTGAAACATTTCCCTCAGCAATGCCTTCACCTATTTCTCATTAACCTGCTTCATATGGCACTAGTCCCACGCCTCCAGTGCACGACTGCTGGGACACAACTTCATCACTGTTTTAAATGACTGAGTACCTTCCAGCTTCTGTCGTTTACCACTTCTTCAACGTTCAGCTCCGACTGCATCAATTTCAACTGCAGAAAATAACAGATAAAAAGGTTATTGTCAAACAGGCATTCCCACACCCTTCAGTATTTCCTACCATTGTGACTTTCGAGATCACAGCCCCAGGACCAGCTCCAATGGTGCAAACTAAAGGGTACAATGCATAATCATCTGGGAAGTCTGGCCCTTCCACTCAGCCAATACTCAGGGCAGACTGAAGTCTACAGGGGCACAGTGAAGGCAGAACTGCAACACAAGCCTGGCAGAAGTAGCTCCTGATTACTGATGCTCCCTTCTTAAATATTGCCCATCGAGATTTGCTAGCAATCAACTGATTTACATGAACAGCTTCACAGACAAAAATAACTATGCCTAATTCATGCCCTCAGCATGGGGAATGCCAGTGCCGGGCTTAGCTCTGCAGTGTTCAGTTATCATTCTCCCATACATGCATTATTAGAGTCATACAGGGAGCTGGCAGCAAAGCTAGGACTGAACATGGATCTCAGACTCTGGATTAAGAATGAAAATCATAAAAGAGATCCCCTCCGCTTCCTTTGCTGTCTACTCTGTGCACTGACCAAAAAAAAATATCTACAGGGACAGGCCATGTATGTCCATGCTATCTGAACCAGTTAATATGTTACGTGATCACAGTAGGACAAATCATGTTTACACAGATGCAAAAGCTCTGGCAAGAACTACAATATGCAGCTCTTGAGCACACACTCAGCCCATAAGAAAGGTAAGAATCTCTTTGTTTCGCACCTACTAGAAACTCCAAGGAGCGCACATGAGAGTTGTGTTCAGATGACGTGGGGTAACTGGACCCTGCCACAAGGCCCTGAAGCAACAGTAGGAGATGTAAGAACCATCTGCCATTTTCACTTACATTTAGGATGTATCTTTGTTGGAGTCTTTAACACAACAGACTAAGGATCTGAGTTTATCCATTTTAAATACATGGTTCCAATTGGAGAGCTGGTGAACAGGTGCAAGCCAAGACAGCAATCGAATCAAAAACCTTCCAAGAAAGATGTCCAGACACACACAGCTAATACACCTTTTGGTGAACTTTTACCTAAGCAATAGGACCTCAAACTGTTTGAAATAACAATCCACAGGGTGACTAGATGACCAGGATTAGTCTCCATAAAATAACCACTCAGAAGAAGATCTTTAGCAGTCCAAAGAAACATTTTCCCTGCTGGAGGATGTGACTAGGTTTACAATTATCTGGACTGTCGCCCTAATTGCCTTTGACACCAAGCCTAAGCAAAACTACTACTTTAGCCTTTTCCTTAGAGTTGCAGAACTGAAGAGCAATACAGCATTAATTAACATGGCTATGCAGGGCGGGGGGTTGTTGTTAAAACATATTCTGACATTTTAACAAGCCTTAGTAATTCAATTAATATAGCTAATAATCATTATGCCGTATGTTTGGATTTCCAAAATTTATTTGGTTGGATATTTTATGACACTTCGTTCAAGTAAACTAAGATGATAACACATTAATGTAACAATCAAATGATGTTTTAATGTAAGCGGACTAAAAGAATTGGCTGCTAGGTCAAATTTTCTTACTCAATGACCTAGAAGTAATGATTTTGGATAAAGTTCTTGAATCTGTACCACTGTCGGGATGAGAGAAACACAAATAACAAGAGAAAACAGATCTGTATTGCAACCAAGTGCATATATTTGAAATGCATAATCTTCAGTGTAGGCTGTGTTCTCTCAAGATGGCTTATTTGAGTTCTAGAAAAAACACAACTCTCACGGGGAACAACAAAAAAAGCAGGGGGATGACACCTCAAAGTCCAAGTGCAAATCTGAGGTCATCCCATCAAAAGATTTCGGGGATGTTTCCAAACATTTGAAATCACCTCCAATTATTAAACACCGTCATTGTGATCCTCCTAGTGGTTTCAGTGATAGGTTTTGGGCTCAGTAACTAAATGATTTAAAGAATTGGCTCTGCAAACAAAATTCGCAGAAAATACTAAGCTACCATTCTAGTTTTCCAAACTAATACAGATGCTTGTTAGCCGCTCCACAAGTGAGGCTTTAAGAATAAAACCACTGGCCTGCCACCTGGTTCTTTTAATCGGAGCTCACAACAGAGCACTTCTCTGAAGAGCACATGAACAAACAGTTCATTCACTCCATGCCTGGGAAAAATCAGATGCTTGAGTTCAAATCATCTCCTCAGGAATCCCTTTAACTACAACTGCATCAGCGTTCGACTGCTCTTTGAAACAGGGGCTACAACAGGCTCCTCTTGGAAGTACAGGGGCATATGCATTTTGAGGTAGTTCAGCACTGCAAAAACAAAATTTCAAGACCCACCTCTACAAGTCTTATTGTATTGCAGCAGGTAAAGCCGCACCCAGGATATATGGTGATGGGATGTCTGGCTGTTATAAGAACTCCCTGTTACACTGGAAACTCAAAGGCACCAGTTTAGAAACCCCGGTTAAGACAGTCCGCAACAGAGAGGCTCACTAAACTGCTGAACACAACAGATACACCTAGCCACTGTATGCAAAAAAAAAAAGCAATAAGCAAGCAGTCTTATTTGGTATGTGCTGCAAGAATATGATGTGGAGAAAAATGTAAAGCGACCACGAGCCATCCAGAGAAGGTCTGGAAGAAAAATCAATGGAACAGTTCACATCCCTGCTCATCTCCACTCCTAGAGCTACACATGCAGTATCCTTTCAACTACAAAGGAGGCTCTGGAATGGGGGCAAGAACTTCAGCAGGGTTCCCTTCTCCACTTTGGATACTCCACTTGGATCACCTCTGGTGAAGTACACTTTCCATCCAGAACACCGAGAGGGTGTTTTCACGTTAAAATTCCTCATGTAAACCCAGAAGTCTCTCTCGCACCATCACAAGGTACTCAAAAAATTAATCCATGAAATACTAAACAATAAAAAAGTTGGTTAAGCGGAATTTGAGGTTGCCTGGCAACTTCTTGTAGAGGACAACAACTCCAATTAACACACCGAGTAAGAACGATGCTTCTGAGGGTGAGGATGAAGAGGGACAGCTTTAAGGCTGCGTAGCTGTGTGGTGCAAGAGACATACACAAAAGCTGTATTTCATTATCTTCTGGTGTTTGCATCTTGGCACTCATACTTGCCATTTGCAGATGTACTAGTTTTACAAGATCTCAAAAAGGCAAAATGAACCTTCAGGCATTCTGAAAGGACTAAGCAAGTCCCAGGTAAGTTGTACGCTAAGTGGTGTTAGTCAGTGAAGGTTAGAGTCCACTGTGGAGAAGTACACATGTTTTTCTACAGCAATGGTGTAATAGGATCTCAGAAAATGCTCCCCTTGCAGGATAAAAGCAGCTCTGTCTGGAGGGCTAGCAGAAAGGGTTCTCACAAACCCAGCCAACGGGAACCTTAGAAAAGACTGTCTGAGTCAGGATCCGCTTTGGGTTCTCTCCATCACACTGGTCTTTCCATTTGGGAAAGATACCCTCTTCTTCCTCTCTAAATGATCTCTAAAAAGCTCCACCACTCACCTTCGTCTGCTCTTTCCTGAGTTGCTTTAATAATGCTAAGTCATCCTGGGCCTTTTCCCTCTCTTCTCTGAGAGTTTTCACTACACTGGAAGTTTGAGCGATGCAGTTTTTGATGATTTTCTCTCTGCTGGTGTGAGCATCCATCAACTAAGTGGGGGGAGAGAGAAAGTCACAACTAGTTCAGCAGAGAATAAAACCCAAGTTACAAGTTAAAAGACAGACTTTCAAAAGTGAAGGTATTTCTGTGCCTATAGAAATTCCTCTGACTCTATAATCCACGTGTTGGAAGCAACACTACTTGGAGCAGCAGCTACAAAATTGATCAAAAGTCAAAGATACATATGAGCAGAAGTCTTGCAAAGTAGCACTAAAAGCATGCTAGTACCCACTTTTAAAAGAAAGACGTGGACTGGGACAACACCATCCACAGAAGCCTGAAGTGCGCTTCAAAGGATCAGTAATGCAGGACAAATAATTCCCCCACATGGTTTTAAACTGACCACATGCATGTGGTTCAGCTGTGTAGAGAAGTCGAGCATGCCAGGTACAGATACATAAAGCATGATATATCAAGGCAGTGGTTTCCTCAGAAACTGCAGATGCTTTACTGACCACTGCACATAACGAAATGTCACGAAGCACGCTGAAAGTCAAAGGAGTGCACACTCACAGACTGGTACAGCTCTTTACATGTCTGGCCAGCATCAATTTTCCCCACAAATGAAGCTGTAGGAATCGTAGTGTTTAATTCGTGGACGATTCTGTCATCAATCGTCCTCATCACCCTGAGCAACTCCTGTATTAAAAATAAAATAAAATAAAAAACTTTGCTTATATCTCTGAGAAAGCTTACTGCAAAAAATCATAGAATGCTTTAGGTTGGAAGGGACCTCAAAGTTCATCTAGTTCTAACCCCCCTGCCATGGGCAAGGACACCTTCCACTAGACCAGGTTGCTCAAAGCCCCATCCAGCCTGGCCTTGAACCCCTCCAGGGATGGGGCATCCACAGCTTCTCTGGGCAACCTGTTCCAGTGCCTCACCACCCTCAGAGTGAAAGATTTCTTCCTGATAACTAATCTAAATCCACCCTCTTCCAATTTTAAACCATTACTCCTCGTCCTACCGCTACACTCCCTGATAAAGAGACCCTCTCCGGCTTTCTTTTAGGCCCCCTTCAGATACTGGAAGGCTGCAATAAGGTCTCCCTGGAGCCTTCTCTTCTCCAGGCTCAACAACCCCAACTCTGCCAGCATGTCTTCATAGGAGAGGTGCTCCAGCCCTCTGATCATCTTTGTGGCCCTCCTCTCAACTCGTCCCAACAGGTCCACGTCCTTCTTATGTTGAGGGCTCCAGAGCTGGACACAATACTGCAGGTGGGGGTCTCAGGAGAGTGGAGTAGAAGGGCAGAATCATCTCCCTTGACCCTCTGGCCACGCTTCTTTTGATGCAGCCCAGGATATGGTTGGCCTTCTGGGCTGTGTGCACATATTGCTGGCTCACACTGAGCTTCTCATCAACCAACACCCCCAAGTCCTTCTCCTCTCTCACACTACACGAGTAAGTCTTTCAATGCAAAATTAAGTACATCAATTCCAAACAGAAAAAAAAAAAAAACAACAAACAAACAAAAAACGCACCAAACGAACAATTTCTGCACGCCAGAGTACTTGCTGCAAACCAGCTCGTCTCCTTAACAGCGAAGGCCAGAGAGGGGACACACAGAACCGGTCAGCGCCGCGTACCTCTCCCCCCGCACCGCCCCCCGGCCCTGCCCGTCCCGCTTCCCTCCGGAAACCCGCCCGCGCCGCAGCCAGACCAGAGCGCCGCTGCCCAACGGCCCCGTCCCCGCCCGTCAACGCTCCCAG